GCTAATTGAGGAGTTTGAGAAGGTTCATTATCCTCCAAATATAATTCATCAAGAGCCTCCTTTATATATTCATCATCACCTGCAAGTCTTTTATTTGACTCAAGAGGATTTCCCCCAAGGTCTACAATCTCATCAAAGGTAACATGAATAGATTCTTCTATATTTAAAGTTCTCCTATTAAACACTCTATATGCCTTGCTAGTTAGAGAATAACCTAGAAAAATGCCCTCATCAGCTTTTGAATCAAATTTTCCTAGATTGTCCTTTCCATTATTTAGCACAAAACATTTACATCCAAAAATCTTTAAATGTGCAACATTAGGTTTTCTTCCATTAAATAATTCATATGGAGTAGATTTAATAATTGACCTAATGAGCATTCTATTTAAAACATAACATGCCGTACTAACCGCATCAGCCCAAAAATATTTAGGAACATTAGATTCATTTAACATAGTTCTTGCAAGTTCCTCTAATGACCTATTTTTCCTCTCAACTACACCATTTTGTTGGGGAGTCCTAGGAGCAGAAAAGTTATGTAATATACCATTTTCCTCACAATAATTCTCAAACTTTTCATTTTGAAACTCACCACCATGGTCACTTCTTAAAACTTTAATTCTTAGGTCTTTCTCATTTTGAATTTGTTTAGCAAACTTTCTAAAGACCTTAAAAGCTTCACTTTTCGTAGTTAAGAAAAATGTCCAAGTGTACCTAGAGTAATCATCAACAATTACAAGTCCATAATAATTTCCACCAAAGCTTTTTATCCTAGAGGGTCCAAATAAATCTAAATGTAATAATTCTAGGGGTTTTGAAGTGGAAATCACATTCTTTGATTTAAAAGATGATTTTACTTGTTTACCTTTTTGGCATGCATCACACAATCTATCTTTTTCAAATTTTAACTTAGGCAATCCAATAACTAAGTCTTTTGATATCAATTTATTCAAGTGATGCATGTTTATATGAGCCGCTCTTTTATGCCATAACCAAGGGTTTTCTTCCTTAGCAACTAAACATGTTATACTAGACTCATGTAAACAATCTAAATCAATCAAATATATATTATTATGCCTAATGCCTTTTAATTCTACTTTTTCGGAATATATTAAATGTATGGTGCAAAATTTGCTTTCAAAAGTTACCTTGAATCCTTTGTCACACAATTGGCTTATTCTAAGAAGGTTATGCTTTAGTCCATCAACAAGAAGCACATCCTTAATCTCCAATGTGTTTGCACCACCTATGTTTCCAATTCCGAGAATCTTTCCTTTGTTGTTATCCCCATAAGTCACATATCCTTGTTCTTTGGCTTTGAAACTTACAAATTTCGTTTTATCTCCAGTCATATGTTTTGAGCATCCACTATCAAGATACCACATAGACTTCTTTGATTTGGAAATTTCCTACAAAACAAGAACATAGTAAACTTAGGTCCCCATAACTTTTGGGTCCTTGGGGTTAGAGACATAACAATATATTTAAATACTGCAAAACTTTCTCATAAAACTTTTCAAGTTATTTTAACTGATAAAAAATAAGTTTTAATCGATTAAAATGCTGTGTAGAAAATTTCTAAGTTGTTTTAATCGATTGAAACGAGATTTAATCGATTAAAAGAGTTCTGATCGGTCATATTTGTATTCTGATCGATCATCCTGACCCTTTAAGTGATTTTAATCGATTGAAACGTGTTTTAATCGATTGAAACGTGTTTTAATCGATTGAAACAATTCTGATCGCTTATAATTAAGATCTGATCGATCACATTTGATTCTGATCGGTCATATTTGTATTCTGATCGATCATCCTGACCCTTTAAGTGATTTTAATCGATTGAAACGTGTTTTAATCGATTGAAAAAATTCTGACCGCTCATAATTAAAATCTGATCGATCACATTTGATTTTGATCGGTCATATTAGTATTCTGATCGATCATAATGAGTTCTAAATGGTTTTAATCGATTAAAAACAAGTTGTATCGATTAAAATGCTGTAAAAACACTTCTTTGAACATTCTAAGTGATTTTAATCGGTTCTTTCAAAACTATATCAGTTAAAAACATGTTTAAGAAAACTTTTGTAAAAATACTTTGTTTTTAGTTGTTTAAAACGATTTTAGAGGCATTTCGCAAAATCTTTAAGTGAAGAACCTTCATGCAGTAGAAAAGATAAAATGATTTTACCTAAGCATTCTGTTTAAAACATACTAAATGATCCATTTTCTTTGAATAAATAAAAGAGATAAACAATTCATTTAACTATAGGAACCCAAATATATTTTCCTTTAGAAACACCAAAATGTTTAATTTTACACTTATTTGAAGTGTGACCTTGTTTCATACAATAGAAGCATGCATTTGATGTAACATTTGAAAATGATGCATTTCTAATTATAGATGCTCTAGTTCCTTTTTCTACCCATACTCTTTTCTTTTTAATTTTAGGCTTTTTCAAAGGAACTCTTTGATTTACATTATTTTGAGCAATTCCCATTTCATGCTTCTTAAGATCATCAATTTCTTTTTCGGCTTTGTCAAGCAAATGGTTAAGAATATCTATGTCATATTCATGCTCTTTACAATTTGCACATGCTAAGTCCTTATTCTCATCTAAGCATACAATTTTCGTATTAGCTACCTTCTTTTCTTCTAAACATGCAATTTTCAATTTTAATGACTCATTTTCCTTTTCGGATCTTCTTAGGTTCTTCTTTACAACTTTAAATTCGTTTTTCATATTCATAAATGCAGTAAATAACTCATTATAAGCATTTTGCAATTCATCATGGTCATTTTCTTCACTAGAGGATGAATCGGAATCACTAACCTCAAAATCCGAAGAAATGTTGTCATTTGCCATTAAGCAAATGTTTGCTTCTATTTCCGAGTCGCTTGATTCCGAATTTGAATCACTGTCATCCCAAACAATATATGCTTTCTTCTTGAATTGCTTTTTGCCCTTGTGTTCATCATTTTTCTTGTTTGGGCATTCGGTCTTCATATGCCCTGCTTCACCACAACCATAGCATTTTATATTAACGGAAGAATTTTCTTTTACCTTTCCCTTACCTTTGAAAGGATGTCTTCCTTTTGCTTTCATGAACTTGGTGAACTTCTTTATAAAAAGACTCAACTCTTCTTTATCATTTTCGGAGTCTTCTTCTTCTTCTTTCTTATTTTTACCTTTTGAAATCTCGGTCTTGAAAGCTAGATTCTTTTTTTGGTATTGACCCTCTTCCTCATTTAGCCTTCCAAGGTCAAACTCATGCTCCCTTAGCTTTCCAAATAACGCCGCCATAGACATAGTGGCAAGATTTTGTGACTCCGAGATGGCCGTCACCTAAGGTTGTCATTTCCTATCCAGAGATTTCAAAATTTTAACATTTAATTCATCAACGTCAAGTACTTTACCTAATCCGGTGAGATGATTCACAATATGAGTGAAACACTTTTGAACATCGAAAATCGTTTCGCCGGGTTGCATCCGGAACATCTCGTATTCTTGGATTAGGGAGTTTTTACGCGCTCTTTTGACGTCGTCAGTTCCTTCGTGGGTTACTCTAAGCATTTCCCACATTTCCTGTGCACTTTTACAAATAGAAATTATGTAGAACTCATCAAGGGTTAGAGCAGATGAAATAATATTTCTAGCCCTAACATCAAATTGTGATTTTCGACTTTCTTCGCAGATCCATCTATCAAAAGGTTTAAGAACGTCAACACCGTTCTCCGTAATTTTAGGAACAAATGGACCGTTTAAAATTGCGTCCCAAACGCCTCTATCAACGGACTCTAAAAATATTTGCATACGTACTTTCCAAAAGGATAATTTTGACCCGCAAAAAGTGGGGGTCTCGTTGATAGACGCACCTTCTAGCAAAAGTTTGATTTTGTCCTAGCCATTTTCGAAAATATTTGAATGACTATCAAAGCAAGCTCGATACCACTTGTTAGAATCGCGCAGCTGAATGTTCGCGTGGTCGGACAAAAACCAAGAGGGGGGTGAATTGGTTTCTTAATAAAAATTAGGTTTTCAAAATTTTTCCCAAATTTTACCGATTAAAAACTGCGTAAATGTAAATAGAGAAGAGTAGAGAAGATTACACAGTAGGTTTATACTCGGTTCGGATCAAAAGACCCTACGTCCAGCTGCTAATCACTCAAAAGAGGATTAACGCCGTCACTAAGAACAAATTGTTACAAACAGATTACAAATGAACAGATAAAGATCGAATACACCTCTCTTGAAATCCACAAGAGATGATGAACAACTTTTCCCGTAGACTGGCACAACACACAATCCACTAAGAACTCCACTTAGTGATTCTTATCACTTCTAGCCCACACCGGTTCGAAAGCCCCTTTCCTTGCAACAAACAGCTTCTCGGCACTCACAAGCACTTAACTTTTGTATGGAAAGAGTTGTTCTTTTTTCTCGAGTGCTAAAGCAGAGTTTAAGTAGGGAAATTAGGATTTAGGAATTGGGGATTTCGAAACTAGGGTTCTTGGTAATTGGGTTTTCGAAAATAGGGTTTGTTTGAAGTTTAAAATCAGAAACAGACTGGAATAATCGATTAAATGGAGTTATAATCGATTAAAACAAAGCCAAAAAAACAGAACCCAAAACCTCTCTGTTTTAATCGATTATTTGAAGTTTTAATCGATTATTTGACCTAATAATCGATTATTTTGATGTTTTAATCGATTAAAACAGTGAGTATATACTGAAAATGGTTTTCTCACTGTTTTAATCGATTATTTCCCTATATAATCGATTAAAGCCGAGCCTGGATGATATATTTGGGCTTTTTGAAGCTTCTAAGTTACAGACTATGTACCGGCTATCTTAGATTCTATAATTACAGACTCAATCAAACTAAAACAGAGTTATTACAATACAGAAATCATCAATCTTCAATCTTCAATACTCTAAGTCTTTAAGCTCTTGGATCATCATCAAAATCAACATTCTTCATGATCATTATTTGCAACATCAAGTCCTTGAATGTTCAACAGGAACCACTTCATTTTGTTTCTTTTTCGAAGAACTTGAAACCACTTCATTGTGATTTTTCTTTGATGAATTCAATATTTCCTGCAATTTGCGTCGTTTCCCTTTTGAGGATTCATTTGATGATGTCTGGGATATAGGTTCTTTCATATGCAAGTCTTGTAAAGGGAAGGTTGAACAACTAACATTTTCGGGATGTGGTTTGGATCTCTTGGAGGCAACAGAGGTCAGTGTTAGTCCGAGATACTCTTTGGCCCATTTATAGACTGCACTTAATTTCCCATCCAAAGCTTGACAAAGAACATTCAAATCACTGATCTCGTAACGGTATAAGAGAATTTTGTTGCTGCAAGGGCAAGAACAAAAATGTTTTGCATGACCAAGACACGCAAACTTGTCATTTGAACATGAACACCCTACAACAAACAAGTGTAAATCATACAAGCAAATACTACATTCCCTTCTACAAGTGGCATAAAAATATTCATCCATTCTTCTTGATACTAAAGAACTGGAAAGAAATTTCCTCTTCAAAATTTCACTCTAGATGCGAGACTACACAAAGAAAACAAATATAGTAAGAATGAATGCAACCTGAATATGCAGCCAACTTTGAACAGAAAACAAGAAATGAAGGAAAGGAGGGGGAGAAGGCCTTCAGAACTTTCTTATACTATTAATACGTAAAATGCATGCCTCTTCCGTCAGTACAATTTATGAAAATAAATAATTGAATACTCGTTAATCAATGGGGGTTTGAAGTTGATAATAAACAAGTTCTCAAAAACTAGGATTTCAGGCTGAAAGACTTACGTAGAAAGTTTTTGTTAAGAACTCATTTTTTCGATAGATGCCTTTATATCTCAAGCAGTCTGATGATGTGCTCTTCATGCACAACCCACACATTCTCTTTCTCTTCATGTCTATCTTTCCAAAAACTCTTAGTGTGGTGAGGCCAACACTCTCTGATTCACTCCAACCAAAAGCCAAACAGAAGCTTAAAAAAAAACAAAAAAAAAAACACACACTTCAACCATTATTGAATGTGAAAACAATCACCAAAAAAACAGTAATGTCATTCAAATCAATGTTCAAAACTAAAAACTGAGAGTGCATTGGATTGCTATCTATAAATATACACATAAAAAAGCATATACATAAAGCAACTAATATTAAGAGAATTTAATTAGAAGGGTGAGATATGACTTACCTAGTAGTAAAGAGTGAGATTGTTTATAATTTCATGCGCACAGAAGAATTTAATGTGATATGGCACTTCCCAGAGTCTTATATACTGCACAAGTTTGGAAGAGGCATTAGGCAAATATGATTTGGCAAAATACACATGTTATAGAAAAATGGAGACATTTAGAATTTGTTAATTAGATTTACGAATAAAAGAATTGTCTTTCATGTTCGTGGTTCATTGTCTTTCATGACGTAAAAAGAAAATTTAAATACTTACACGTTTCATGAGGTCTAATGAGAACCAAATAACTCCATGGCTTATCACATATGAACATGCAAAATTTGTTAATCATTACACAACTGCTTCAAATCATGACAAAATATACCAGGTTCCAAGGACACACCATAAATATATAATAACACACAAAAATTAACCATTGTTTTTTAGGTCTATAACATTTTCTTTTATTTGGATCAATCTGCATTTGCTGTAACATGGTATACGTAATAGTGCTACTTACTCAACAAAACAGAGTTCACTCTAAAAATAATACAAAAACTTAAAACTATTAGGTAAAAACTCAATTTATATAAATTTTTGCAACTAATAGTTACAGAAGATTCATGAGTTTAATCCTATGAAGAGAAATAATTAGTAAGACTTGAGTTGCAATTGATAATGACTGACACAACGCATGGTTCACAAGTCCCCAATTGGACCAGAGCATACCTTGCTGTACAATTTTCTGTTTATTAAACATTTTAAATCACCTATTTTTGTTCAATAAAGCAAAGAATTGAAGCTATGTATAACAAATTTCATTTTTAGGCGATAGATAATTAACTATGGATGAAACTTAAACATATATTGAATAAAATCAAACCTTCCAAAACTCAAATCATAGGGTAACATTCAAAATGAAGAAGAGATTACCGTGAGAAAACATGAGCGGAAGCGGCGCATGACAGCAGTCGTAGGCGAGGAATCCGCCGGCTTTTCCAGAAGCGGCGCACACCACGTCGGACATCTCAATGAGCGTGACGGCAACTCCCTTCGCCCCCAGAAAGTAAGTCGTGCAAACTCCTATGACTCCGTCGCCGCACACAACTACCCGCTTCGGCTGATCCATGAGCGATGATGACTTAATCGACTTTGCTCTTGAAATGGGAACTCTGTTTTGCGGATAGACAATTGTTGGTGGCTGCGGAAACCCCACCACTACATTCATGCTCATCCAATTTCTGAATATAATAATTTTTTTATTTCTTATAAATAATAGTTTCTAAAAAAAAGATAATATTATTTATAAAATTTTTCTATTAATTTAAATATTATTAAATATTTCTAACAAATTAAAATTTATAAAAAACTTACAAAAAAATAATTTTAAATATTTATCAATTTTTTTAGATATTTTTTCAAAAAAATTATAATTATTTCTAAATAATTTTAGATAAAAAAAATAATTTATATATATATATAATTATATATTTATAGTAAATTTGGTAAATTTAATTTCTTTAAGAAAAAATTGTAATTAATTTTTATTGATATTTTTTTCAAAAAGATCAAAAATTGTTTTTTATAATTATATATTTTTAGAGAAATTTACAAGTATTTTTTATAAATGATTTTTTTATAAAACTAAAATAATTTATAAGAATGGTTCCTAATAATTTAATATTTTTTTCAATTTGATAATTGCTATAAATTTGTTACAGTTTAACTATAATTGTATGTTACACAATTTAGCTAGGAAATAGCTTCAAAAAAATAATATAGCTAATATTTATAGCGAGGGATTAGTGACAAAAATTTTCCTATCTAAATCATTTTTCTGCTAAGTGAGAGAATAGCTACAAAAATATTAGTTTTCTAACTATTTTACTGCAGATTAGCTATAACCTTATTCTTTCACTATTCCATAGTTAATTAACTACAAATTAGTGAAAAATAAATTTTGTAGTTAATTTTCCTATCTAATTATAAAATTTGTTGTGGTGTACCATCAACCAACCTTGAAACTTATTCCAAGCAAATAACTCGGCCTCTACCTTCATTTCGATCACCATTTCGACCTCCATTTCCAAATTTATCTCGACCTCCACCTTCATCTCAACGTCCACCTCCACCTTCACCTTCCCATTTATCTCAACCTCCACCTCCACCTCCTCCTTCATCTCAACCTCCACCTTTTTCACTTCGACCTTCACCTTCACATCTATCTCAACCTCCACCTCCTCCTTCATGTCAACCTTGACCTTCACCTTCACATCTATCTCAACCTCCACCTCCTCCTTCATCTCAGCCTCCACATCCACCTATATATCAACCTCCTCCTCCACCTCCACATCCACATAGGCCCACCCAATATCAACCCATCCTTACTCAACAGGTCTTTCAAATGCATGATTTTCAAGTGGCAAATGAAGCTCCATCTTCTTCGTCTAGCCATGTTAGTGGAGACAATAATAGGAAGAAAATCTTAATACTTCCAGAAGGCGATGGGTAAGTAACTTTTTTAGTGAATTATTTTAACTTTCTTAACATAATATAATTTTTATTGTCTTATATAGGTTTGATCAACACAAGTTGGTAGTGGGGACGATTGCTTCAATCATTCGCTCTAACTTGGAAGAGACAAATCCATCATGGAAGAAGTTATCCATGGATCAAAGGGAATCTTGGTTTGATATATTCAAAGTAATTAATTTTTAAATTTTGATTAAAAGATTTTATTTATTTTTGGAAAATGTCTCTAGTATAATCATTATCTTTTTCATTTTTCTCAAAAATAATGTAGTCAAAATTTTCTTGGCCACCTCAATATAATGACATGGTGCGACGTAACTTTGAGAGAAGAGGTGCATCTAAAATGTCTCAATTAATGCAAGATGCTAGAAAAGATCTAGAGAAAAAACTCATTTGGATGGGAGAGAATGTGTGGGGACAATTAAAGACACATTGGGAATCTATAAGTTTTAAAAAGAAGTCTGAAACAAATAAAAGAAATCGGGTAGCTTTGGATGGTGCATCTCTTCATACAGGTAGATCAATACCTCATCGCTTACATTGGAAGAGAATGGTATTATTACTTTACTTTGTTTTTTATAATTTACATTTTAGAATTAATAACATTAAATTTTCTTTGTTATCGAAAAGAGGAAAAAGGAATAGACCCATCATTGACTGAGTTTTATATTCGTACACATCGGAGAAAGAAGGATCAAAGTTGGGTTGGTCCTCATGCCAAAATTGCTTTTGTAAGTTTTCAATTTGATAAGCACATTGGTAGTGATAAGCACGTAGTCAAATATGAAAGTAGTTATCTATTAATTAGCTTGGCATTTGAGTTAAAGAAATCAATATTATACACGTACATTTCTTTAATGGATTGAAGAATTTGGAAGGGACCAAGCTTTATGGCTAGAGATAATAAAAGTTATGTAAAACTGCTATTTCATTTCTTTATTTTGAAAGAATGATACAATATTTTTAAAAATTGAGTTATTAGCTCATAGTTTTGGGGAGGATGCAATTGATGGTGAACAATCCATGAGCCAAATACCATCAGATTTGGATATATGGATTGATTCAGTTCAAAAAAATAAGGGAAGAATATTTGGTCTTTGATCTCTAGGCAAAATGTTAATCATATCTTCAACTAAGAAGTCAAATTTTGAAAATGTTGATGCTTTAAGGAGTCAAATTCAAGCCTTAAATCAATCATTACATAGGCAAGAACAAGAAAAACAAGAAATGAGACAAGAGTTACAAAGACAAAAGAAAGATAAACAAAAAATGAAAAAACAGTTGACTGAAACTAAGAATCAAGTAGCAGCCTTAATGCAACACTTAGGGTTTGTTGCATCTTCTTTACCATCTTCATCATCTCAACATAGCAATGAAAATGATGATGATGAAGACAATGATCATATTGAAGATGGTAATATTTAAAATTTTATTCTTGAGTTATTATAACACTTAACTGAATTATTGAAGGTGATAATGAAATTGCAGGGAATTAAAGATATGATGTGATTTTGACAACAACAAGGATTTGCTTTGATGCATTTTTTACAAGGTTTTAAAGTTTTGAATTATTTATATTGTTTTGACACTTTAATATTTGAGTTTAGTCATTCACACTTTTTCATTTGAATTTCAGGATTAAAGATTTGATATGATTTTGACAATGAAAAAATTTTGCATTGCAATTGTTGGTCTTTTGTTATTCAGATTACCTAAGAAAGATCATCGTGCATGAAAGATCTTTCAAGTCTAACAAGGTTGGAGATATTCTACCAAAATTTGTGCAGGTAAAAATATATTTGTAAGTAATTATAAATTTAGATTCTTGGTTAATTTTGAACTCTTGTTATTGTTTGCTATAAATGAAATATAAAGTACAGTCTTAAAATGAATAGTAGTAATAGTACATTAATTTTAAATAATAATATTGTTTGCGGGAATTTGGTGAACTTTTCCAACCAGGTGTTGCATCATTTTTTTTTGTAACTTTTCCTCTATGCTGCTATTCTCAAATTAATACAGACCAAATTGTTTGCTCAACAATGGAGAACGTAGTTATTTTGTATACCTAAGAACTCAACAATGCAAGGGAACAAGGTTCTCCGTATAAATGAATCTCATGTTTCAAGACAATCTCATGTTTCCAAACATTGATAATTTCATTTCATGCATTTATGATAATTACATTCATGTAATAGTATTTTACTTTGTTTATGTTTTGTCTTATCATTCATAGGGATCATGTTGACGTAAGACTAAATAATTCTCTTAAAAAACATTTCACGTTAATTTTGTTTTTAGCTTAGTTTTTTAGTTGAATAAACAAATAATTTTTCTTTTATAATAATCATTTAATTATGTAATAAAATAAAATATATAATAAATAGTTTTTTTAATTTCATATATATATATATATATATAATTTAAAATTTATACAAAATTTTTTAGATGTTTTTAAAAAGTAACCTCATAAAAAATTACCTGCGAATTTAAAATTAGCAAGAAATTTCCTGAAAATATAAAATTACCAAGAAATTATTTGTAAATTTAAAATTACTTACGAATTTGAAATTGGTACAAATTTAGATGCAGATTTAAATGGTAAGAATTACATATAGATTTAAATTGCAAGAAATTATATGCAAATTTAAATTTGCAAAAAATTACTTATGAATTTTTTCACAAAAAATTTTGTAAAATTTTTTTGTGAATATTAAATCTCTGGATAATTTATTATCCACCAGCTAATTACGTGCTAATAAAAATTTGTATGAAAATTCGCAAGAAACTTATTTTCTGCGAATTTTTACAAAAATTTGGTAAAAAAATCCCATAAAAATTAAAAATTTCAAGTAGTGATAATGTTAAATATATATATATATATATATATATATATATATATATATATATATATATATATATCATATACAAATATATACCTATATAAATATACAAATATGTTAATATATAAATATACAAATATGTTAATATGTTAATATATAAATATCTAATTATATATATATATATATATATATAATTAGATATTTATATATTAACATATTTGTATATTTATATACGTATATATTTGTATATATATATATATATATATATATATTAAAAATTATTAAAATTATTTGCTATGGTTAAATTTTATTAAAAATAAAAGAAATTTTATTTACTATTGTTATTTGATTTGATAAGTTAAAAATAATATTATAATATTAAATAATACTTATAAGATATTAGAATAATAAAAATAATACATAATTAAAAATTATTTATTAAAATATTATAAATATGATAAATGAAATATTTTAATTTTATTAATAGGTAACATGTGATTGTATCATGACCTTTTTCGGGTTTCTTTTATTTATGGATTTGTGATCAAAATTGGTCATGTGTAAGATGATGATAATTTTAATTTCTTAATTCTCTTAATAGTCTATCGTAGACCTTAGCGACTTATGTTAAATTATATACATGATTTATGTAATTGCTAAAATTATGATGGATGTGTTTGCATGCAACAATTACATGCGAACACGATAAATGAAATTTTTGGAAGTCACACCATGATTTGTCTAGCCTTATTACAAATTGACCTATTAGTCTGACTTCTCTCATATTGACAGTTTCTTCTACCAAAAATCTTGTGTCGATTCAATCAAGTCAATCACTTTATAAGTGTTTATCTTTGAATGCGCATCCTCTAAAGCTTTGATCACCACTTTAGAATATAAATATCCAACATCAATCATGACGATCACTTCCCTCCCTCTTTCGGTGAAGAATTTATTAGAGATAAATCATTGACTGAGCCAGTTTGATGGTCATGTGTCCCTAGCATCGGTTGTTGTTCCAAGCTAGTGTCCACTTCTTCCTTAAGATTTCATCCAATCATTGTGTTACCTCCACATTTTCATTTATTATTATGTTGTAATAGTATAAGAATGTGGGTTTAGTCATTCCATATGTTGTTTAGAAAAGAATTGAATATTGATAAGTTAATATCCTTATGAAATTTGGTGTGTGTGAATGCAATACACATGCATAAAATTATTATTTTCAATCTAATCATTGATCTCTCTTAAGTAAGCACTTCGTATGGACTCATGACAAATAAAAATGAGACATAGTCCATCTTGTGGGGCTACATATCTCCTTAGGTTCCTTAAAAAGAAGAATCAAGCATTAGTTGTTTCCCCTTCCATTATAGCAAAGACAGTTGGGAGTATGTTGTTATGGTCATCTTGTACTATTACAACCAATAATATTTCTTTGTATTTTCTATAGAGAATCATTTCGTTCACTTTAATCAATGACTTGTAGTACTAAAAATCATCAAACCAAGACTTGAATGACGAAAACACCAGAAGACATGGTCCTCAATTAATTGTTGTCCTTGGTATGATGGATGCGTGTTCAACTTTCATATGAATCCGAAAACATATACTCACATTTCCTTTAGAAGATGTGGCAACTTCGTGTACGACTCCCCCCAATTGCCATATAGTTTCTCGATGGCTAACTGCTTCCCTAGCCATGTCTTCTAATATGTGATAGTGTATCTTTGGGTAAAATTGATATGGGCAATTATTGTTGACATAGGGGTTAAACAATCAAGATCTACAATCTCCTTGACTCTTTGAGAAATAAGGCATGATCCCATCTTCTTATGATTTTAAGAGATTAACGAGGACACACAGGTGTCGATGTCTTCCAACTTTATTATTTGCTAATATTGTTTTCTAGTTTGCAATATTACTCT